TCAGACCAGTTCCAGATTACTTTTTTTAAGACAATATAAATTTCTGGAGTTTCTTTCTAAGCTTTTATCTGTAAAGTCTGTCTGATAAAAGCTACCGTTCTCAATGCCATTCCTTAATCTTACACTGAAGGTGAAGTTTCACAGACCTTCAGATGTTTTCCATAGGTTTTGGTTTGGTTTTGGTTTTTTTTTTTTTTTTTTGGTTTGTTTGTTTTTTTTTTTTGTTGTTGTTGTTGTTTTTTCCCAGATGACATGAGAACATGGGATTCAGAAATGTAGGCTTTCAGAATTTTTTTCATGAGGTTGAATACCAGCAATCCCAGATCATTTCAGTTTCTGGACACAATGAGTGGGTTCTCAACAGATATTTTACTGTTCTTTTTCTGTATCATTAACATTCAAATTAAACCTGATTTAGAGTGCTGTCTATGCAGAAATCATCCAGTTTTGAACCCTGAAGACTTGCACATTTTGTTAAAAAGAAGGGAATAGGGGTTTCTTCAATCACATCCCCTCATTTGACCTTCTCTATTCCCTCCAATTAGAAAAGTATCCTATCTGAAGTGGAGCAACAAGTCAGAGCCCTGTAAACAACAACAAAAAAAAAAAAAAAAAAAAAAAAGACCAAAACTTCCAAAGATTTTCTTATGAAAAACTAAATTTATTCTTTTCAAGTTAGCTTAGTCCATGTGTGGCAGCACTTCAGTCAAGCTTTTATTACTTAAGCATAGTTTATATTAGAACAGTCCCTAGACTTCTTTATTGACCTAAATAATATGAAAGTATTGAACAAAGATATTCCTTAGACTGTTCAAAGAGTAATTTCCTCACTTCAGTAATAAATATTTACTTAAATAGAAAGAAGAATGTGGGGAACAGATCATATTTAAACCCTCTAAACAAAGGTGGATTTTCCCTAAAGCATAATTTTCTCTATGCTTGTGTTAGTGTTAAATGTTAGTGTTAGATATTAGTTTTGGATATTTCTAGCATTCAAAATAGCTTATTATCATGGAAAAATCATAAAACCTGAGGTGTTACCACATGCAATCATGAAGCCTATGCAAAATTACTTTCTAATCCTGTTTTCTTAGTTTTAAACTCTTTTGTGGAATAGGGAATTACTTTCAAGTCTTTCTGTCTATATCTGTTTCTTTGGGAGTGTGAAGGATGTAAAGAGATCGCTAGTTGAGTGTAATTTTTCTGAAAAGGAATGTTTTGATACATTTCCTAAAGATTATCAGAGCATGAATGATACAGAGGATTGAGTCAGGGTTCTGTGTAAGTTCCATGTTACCATTCAAAGCAATTAGATCTAAATTCTGAAGCTGCAGATATTGGTTTTAGCAATATATACATCCTGAACTACTATATGGCAAAGAGAAAAAAAAATATATTTAAGCGTTTGTGCGAAGAAAATTAATCTGTATAAGTACAGACTAATATAATTTTAGAAGAATTTTAGATTTTCAATGGAAAATTTAACTGGATACATGTAAAATGGAATAAAATTCAGTTCATATGACTCAATATTTTCTTTGATAATTTTTTTTAATGCATGTTAAATACACTGTATGCAATTTATTTGTATTTCACTATTTGATTCAGCCCTATTAGGGAACTTGTTAAGTGAACCAGAGTAAATAATGGCACAGGAATTTGAAGTAGGACAAGGAATTAGTACTATGGTGGATGAGAATGAATAGATCAGAGATAAAATATATCAAGGGACATTAATAATTAAATTTTTAAAGATTCTCTCTTTTTTGAATACTTTCATAAATCGTAATAAATGCTCACACCACAGTGGAAAAAAAAAAAAATCAGGGAAAATAATATAAAATAGAGAAGACAAGCAGTGTATCAATGAATACACACTACAAATGTAAGTTTCTCATTACCTTTCAAGAATGAAATGAGCTTCTGCTTTATGATAAGGCCTTCTCCTCCAAGCTGTTTTCTTCTGTTCTTTTTCATAGCCCTTAAAAGGTCTTCCTTGACTCCTGCACAGATACCACAGTATCTTCTAATTCTAGGACCAGTGTGAGAAAACGGTGTTAATTTGCCTGAGACACAGATTGAAACCACAAGCCTTTTCAAACCTGGGTAGATTGATAGCCCCTGGAGTGTTGATAACCTTAAACTACTAACCGCAATCTGTATTTCTGTCCTACTCAATACTCATGTTCCTGCTCCTCACATCTTACTGAATGACTGAACTGACTGTGGTTTGTGTCATTACTGACCCTTGATGCACACTCTCCTCTTTTTCCTGATCAGCTTTCTTTATTTGTTCCAGTTTCAGCCTAAAAACTCTCAATTTGAAACCTCTTTGTTTCAAGCTACTTTTCTTCATTCAAGGGAAGTGTTGGGAATGGAGACCAGATGGTTGCCCTTACTGTCCTCTACTGGGAACTCCCCTTTTTTTCAGAATATCCTGTATCTTCTAGTTCATACAGCCTATATACACCTTAGTCCTCAACTAACACTAACTCAACAAGACTTAACTCAGTATTAGAATAGCTTTTCTCCTTTCTCCCAGACTTTCCCCTCACTTTCTCCCTCCCTCCAAATACATACAATCCATGCCTTAGCCAGCTCTGACACTCTTTGGAGCCAGACAGAAGGAATACCTGGCTAACAACTTCACACATTTTCTCATTAAGTCTTTTATCTGTCTGTATTTCATTTCCCATTTGCTTGTTTCCTTACAGCCCCTTTCAGTTCAACTCTCTAACATAGAAACCTGTAAGACCACAAAGGTAAAGTGGAGGTACATGTAATATTTATTAAAAAAAAAAATTAAAAAATATATATATATATAATGTTCATAACTCCCTCATTCTCCACAGGCAGGGTCTTGGAATAGTAACTCTTAACTCCACTGTAATGAAAAAACTGCTTTCAGTAACTGGAAACTTTTGAGGAGAATGGAAGTTAAGTATTCACCAAGGATTTCAGATTCAAAACCAGCTGCAATCTCCGTACTTCAGTGCCTTCTGCATATTAAAGACAATCATTTTGAAATTTGTGTCATTATTGTCTATTTCTGCAGCAAACAACAGAAGTACCATGGTACCATACTGTTCTTCAGCTACACATCTCCATAAATTACACATTATTTGCTTTAAAATTCAGAATAACTTGAATAAACTCTTCATTCATGAGTACATACTTATATACCTTTTCTCCATCTAGTGTTATTTTTTGATTCCTTCTTTTTGAACAGAACAAAAAGCACGTTGTCTGTTCCAAACAACTCTTTATTTAAAAGATCATTAAATACGATACCAAAACACAACAACAACTGAAGTATATATGTACACAGCTACCCTAAGGATTTGGTAATACACAAAAATAAAAAAGAGATTTCATTCATGCAAGAAGTATTAAGTAAACTATTTCTAAGACCTTCTCTGTACCTGCTATAAAATAGGGAGTCTTTAATTTTTTTAATTTTTTTTTTTTTAGGAGAAGGATAATTGCTTTTTATCCATAGGTATTATTCATTCAATCAACTAAATTGTTTTTTGCATCCTAATAAAAGGCTTTATAATGTTAGATTCTAAGAACGGTTGTCTTTAAATACATACAAACAACATGGTTTGAAAAAAAATATTTGGAGGAACCACACCATTCATTCCAGATTAAATGATTCCTAAGTCATATTGCTCTGTGACAACTTTAAGAGAATAATGCACAATATAGAACATACTAGGTTTTTGTTTTTTTTTTTTGTTGTTGTTGTTTTTTTGTGTACACATTTATTTTAGACCTTGAATTAAATATTTAGACAGGGGGAAAATCTTAAATTCTAAAATACTGGATTACAAAAATATGTTATGCACCTTAGATTTTTAAATAATGAATCAGAACAAGCTGAAATAATGATAAGACTGTCTTACAGGATGTTTACTTTCTATCCTCAAGATCAGATTTATTGACATACAAATCCAGCAGTTTTTCTTTCACATGATGGTATTACTTTATTAAGCAGCTTAGACACTACATCTGGACAGAGGTCCTCAGGCTGTCATTTGTGAAAACGATGTGTAGACTATCTGAGAAGCCCTGTATGTACACATAAGAGAAACACAGACTGCAAAAGGTTCCTACAATTGAGCTTCAAGTGGAGAGTAGAAAATGTTTCCAGACTAAGATTGCACTGTATTTTTTGAGACAAAACAGACTGGTACTTGGCACACTGGGAGCTCAAGCAGACAAATGCTGTTCCTTGGTAATTTAAGTCTAGTTGTGTATAGTCCCACTTTTCCTTCTGTATGAGGGGATGTGAGTAGTCTCCTGAGCCAACAGCTATATGCTCTCACCTACTTGGCAAAAGCAAGTTTTAGTTGGGCAACTAACAACTCCTGAAGGCTTTGTGTTCCTTAATAGCTGACATGCCTCAAAAAGTTCATTTTTTCACTCCCATTCCACTTCCCCACATTGCCATCTTAGAGGAGTCATTTGTCCAGCCAAAGCTTGCCTGCTAATGAGGTACTGCAAAGCTCTTTCTAGTTCACTGTCTAATTATTGGGTCTGTCAGATACATCCAAGTATCCTGAATCTGGAAGGTTTTGAAACCTCATCTTCAACATTGTGCTTTTGCATGTGTCTTAATGTGACACCTGTTGGATTCATGAAATTGGATGAGAATGTCAATTTTCAGTAACAATGAATAAAACCAAACAAATGTTTTAGCTCCTCTTGTTGACAAAGCTTAAAAATATGATTCAGATGATCCCTGGCATTCCAGTAAATGGAGGGAAATAAAAAACATTTGACATCTGGGGTACTCTGGGGAATTTCAGAAGAACCTGCTCCTCTTTCTGCCCTCCTACATTCAGCTATTATAGTGGTGGCTTGCATCTTCAATTTGATACCTCATAGTGCAAATTGATAACTAATCTTGGGGAAAAAGAATAAAGATCAAGACCAAATTATCATGTCATCGTTGTGTGTTAGTTAAGAGTAAGGTATGAGACATAGCCACAATCATATGTCACAAAATTAAATCTCTTTTAATCTGAAAACTCTACATTTCATCCACTCTGTTCACAGCACAGCCATTAAACCCCTACCTAAAACACAGAACAAAGTTTAGACTTATAAAAGACTAAAACCAGCAAATTTTATAATATACCGCAGGCAAGACTCAAGAAAGCTGAAGACTTATTTTATAACCACATTTAACCTTGAGAACAGTATCTATTATTTTTTAATGTTTCTTTTAAAGAAAAGCTAACAAATCTATGCTTCAGAGATGATAAAATTATTCATTTATCTATGTTTTACTTTTTTTGTAGGGGAAATTTGTAAGATTATGGATAAGAACTATTAAAAATATGTAAAATCAAATCAAGTCTCAGTTACATTTAATTCTACATTAGAAATAACTGAGAGAATTCTGCAGTTGCTCTGTATGATGATATCCGATGTTTTAGGAGTATGAGAAATAATTAAGTATAAAGTTTCTGAATAATTGGTATAATTATTCATCTATGAACTTTGTAAAAATATCAGTGAGTGGAATATGTAGGAAAAATGTGCTAGGAGACATAGACAAACAACAAATCTCTCAGTAATTGTTGCTATAAAACAAAATTTTCCATTTCAAGAGGCAGTTCTATAGGCCAAGGTAGCAATCTGAGTTAATGGTCTTCAAAACAACATTTAAAATTGTTTAAAAACTTAAGGCAATTATGAGCTGCAGAAAAAAAATGAAAGGAAAAAAAAATGCTGTCTGAATTTACAAATCTTTATATCTTGTGAGGACCTCCTCTGGCCTGAACTTCATTCAGCACCCATTGCTGCTGCAAATAGAGGATTGATTTTGCAGGCAACACACGGCTAGGGCCAAGCCAAGTACCCTGAGGATCCCACTGAAAGAATGTGTGAAATAGAGACAAATATGCATAAGCCTGCCTATTTTTTTGCTGCCATCATCCTAAAACGAGGGCTAAAGAAAGGCTGCAATTCCACAGCAGTGAGGTCATCGGGAGGTAGCAACAGATAGAAGTGAGAGGAGGTTTCAAGAAAATAAGCATCCCCCAGACATCAAAATATCCCTTAACAGCTCTGTGTACCTGGCTTAATCATACAATTTAAGTGTGTTTTCTAACATTTTAATGCTGCTATGCTTGCTTTTCACCAATGACCAATGAGCTGAAATGCCAGCATTGGCTTTTTTATCTTTACTGACCATGTTACAATTATACATAGTTTCCTCATCCGGTTAAGACTGTCTGCCACTCTGGATTACATTCTTCTGACAGCTCCCTGAACCCCACCATCAGAGGTTAGGGAACAACTGAACAAGGTACCTCCTGCCATCCTTTAAGCTCTCCCTCCTCCAGTGACACACAGTAGCTGACCGTGTGTGGATTCACAGCATGCTGAAAGGAAATGGGTTATTTTAAGCCATTTTCAGCCAGTCAATTTGTCTAATCTGTTAACTCTGCACTGCAAGGAACAAGTACACAGTCACACGGTAAATCTCACATGAGTGTGGAGCACAAGATGAGGGGGGAACAGTTCATCATCATCATTTGAAGTCTTCTGCCATCACTCTGAATATCTAAATTGCCTCCAAAATGAAACATAGAAGCATGCTTTTGTTTCAGAAAATTTTAACATTCTCTATCAGATGACAACCACATTAATTTACCCTACTTTTTTTTAACTTTTATAAACTGAACACAAGAGAAAAATAGGACAGCAACCTATTTCTTTTTTGTCTTATTCTTCTGTGTTGCCCATGAAATAGTGATTTGAAGTTTCTTTCCTTGTTCCTGATATACTGTTATCACTGAATTTTGGAACAAACTCTGTTCTGCTTTGTCATTTCAGACAAACGGGTATTTTAGAATTTAAAGTGTATGTAATAGGACTAGAGAGTCCACAGGTCTGTTGGAAAGAGGGAGGTTTCTTAGAAACTTGAGAGTATACTATGTCTCCAGTCTACGCCTATGACTGTTGCATAAAAAAATAAAGGGTACGAATCAACTAGAATCTTATTTAAGCAAAGGCCATAAGTTCATTAAACGTTTAAACACTGAGACCAAATGTACTTAAGTGCTTTTCTGTATTCAAGTCATAACGATTATTACAATAGTTAGTGTATGCTCAGTTATATCTGGTGAGTATGTGCATTTTGTGGCTATTAAATAAATAAACTGATTAATAACATTTGTAGTGAGAAAAGGAAATATAGTTAGATTTAATATAATGCAAATACATTTTACTGTAAAAAGACCATCCCTCCCCATGTGACAAAGATGGTATAACCATTGGTATGGATATGTTATTTCTATGCATATCCCTGTGTATGTTTAATAATAATTGGCAGAAAATATGACCTGTGAGAGGATCTGGAAATTCTCTGAGTGTTTTGTTTCTGGGAATTTGTTGGAACAGTATTGCTTTGAGGAAAGAGCTTAAACAGAAAATTGGTGGGTTTTCAAAAGCAATGCCTGTCCCATTTTTTGCCTCGTGGTCTGAGCATCTAAGCTTCATGGGTCTTGGACTATCACTGTATTTTGACTGTTGTTGTGACCTCCAATTCTTTCAGACTGTTTTCTTCCACACTGCAACCCAAGATCATGGAGATCCCAAGTATCATGTACATACCACAGACACAGAGCCGGAAAATGTATAAGTTTTGGGTGGCACTTGATTCCTCGTGGCTTGAAACAATTTTTTCCATACTGGGAGCTTCCCTCTCCACCAGCCTGCAAGACTGTCTTTAACCCCTGAAACTGCCTGTTGTTATTGTTACAAATTTGTAGAGACAAGGAAAGTAAATGTCTTTTAATTGTAAGTTTAAGATGTTCTAATTTTAATTCCTCTTTCAAATATTTCTCCCAAGTTTCTCATACAACCAGATTAGTATTTTGACTTTAACAGTGACAGCACAGGAGCATGAATCAGCTTTTATTTTTTGTCTTTGTGTTGTTTTTCCTGAGAATTCATAGATTAGGTAAACAGTGTAAGTTCTTTAACTGATTTAATAAACTGTTTTCCTTTAGTCAGTGATACACAAGACTATGAAGCACATTTGGATTTGTTCTCAATAGCACACTCTTTTAAAGTCTCATTTATGTATTGTTTTCTTAAATTATGACTCTTCAGTCTCAAGTTAGGAGTCAATAACTTAGAATGCATTTACAAGCAGGCCATTAAAATATTAATTTTTAAATTGCCATTTAATAGCTGATAGTATTTCCTTCCCTCCTTAGACCTAAACCCTAATAAATTAAACTGGCCAATATATAAAATATTGTGACACTTCTGATTAGTGTATTATACAAAAATTTGCAAGCATATATATGTTTGAGGTGTTACATTAAGAAATTTTAAAATTCTCGGTAGGGTTTACGGACAATATCAATTTACTTGTTGTATGTTGGTATGCTTTATAAAATAGAAAAGACTACAGTATTGTTGGAAATATGCTGAAATCTCAGTTTTGTACAATACATCATGCTTAGAAACTAGATTTATTTGCAAATGTATTGGTCCAATTAATCTCAAGTAGGAAAAAGTCACAATCAAGAAACAGCAATTGCAAAAAAGACACAGTTATGTTATAATCTTGATGATTTTCCATAGTATATTTTCACACAACTATGATTTTAGATTTAGATAAGATAACCATAATGCACAGTTACCTATAAACTAAATATACATTGTTTTCTTCTGCTGCATCAGTAATATGAACTTCTCTTAAGTATGTATGGTCTTCTAGCTTTGTTCACATGTAGCTGCCGTTTCAGAATATAGGGATTTTTTCTTTTCATTATTTCCTTGTCTTGGCTTGAGTTCTCTAGATCAAAAGCATCTTGCTGAAGTAACTGTAGGATGCAAGAAGAGACACAATGTTGTCAGCTTTTTTTGGTGATGAAAATTATCAATTCCAAGAATGCTTTATAAAACTTTATTTTAACATCTGCCACCAAGAAAAATCTTTACCATAGTAGTTGCATCTTTAAAAAAAAAAAAAAAAAAAAAAAGCCCAAAACTCAAGACACAAAACTAAGATCAAGCTAAAGATGAGCTGAATGCTATGGAGGTGATATTTAAATTCCACTGAAACAAATGAGATCATTGGTTTTGACTAGAGGAAAAAGCTGGCATGTCCTCCTTGGACTAAAATTCAAATTGCCTGAAAACTTCCTAATGACTGTCACTCTGTAATCACTCATTTAGGCAAAACACCTCCTAAAACACCCACTGCTTGCTGGTTTCAGGTTTTGAGCAATATTTTTATATGCGACTTCCTACAACTAAAAAATCAAAATGTGTAATAAACAAATGAGAAATGAAATAAAGCACAAGAAAGCCAAAACTTTGTCAATCAAAATTTCTTATATAACTGTGTTTTGAGTTCTACTTGGAGTTTTTAAAGTGTTCTGTTCAGATTCAATCTTGCTTTACCTATTAAGATTTCATCCATTCTCTCACCAAGTTCTTCCATGGTCAAGTACAGTCCTACTGTCTGGCTGAAAGGCATTAAACTGAAAACATTTTTATACTCACCTCGTTATTTCCCCAAGCAATCAAACTCTTTTACTCACTTAATTACTTAATAAATGAGTGCTCATCTAAATTCTATTGAAATGAATGGAAAGACTCATGGTTTCAACAGACTTTGGAGTCAGTCCTGGATGAGTAAGATCACAAGAACTTCTTTCATTTACAGAAATTATTTATTTCAAACCTTCTTCAATATTTCTCCCTCTGGCACTATCTCTTCTTTTATTGTCTTATAAACCTCTGCGCTGCATAAGCATGTTCCTAAGCTGAGAGAGGAATATTTTTTTTTCAATTTCACATGCAGTACTCTTAGGAGCGATGATTCTCAATCACCAAAAGAGATGATGTAACTACAAAGTAAGGAACTGTAAGTCATATGGGATATTCCATATAGTCAGTTCTATGGTAGCTTTTTGTCATGGTTTGACCCCAACTGGCAACTAAGAACAACACAGCTGCTCTCTCACTCCTCCCAGCTCCCAGTGGGACAGAGAGGTGAACTGGAAAGGGAAAAAAAGTAAAACTTGTGGGCTGAGATAAGAACAGTTTAATAATTGAAATAAAATAGAATAATTATGATGATAATGATAATAATATTAATAATAATTGCAATGAAAGGAATATAACAAAAAAAGACTGACATAAACCCCAAGAAAGACAAGTGATGCACAGTGCAATTGCCCACCGCCAGCTGACCAGTCCTCAGCCAATGGCCAAGAAGTGATCCACCCATCCCGCCAACTTCCCCCAGTTTAAATACTGGTCATGATGTCATATGGTATGGAATAACTCTTTGGCCAGTTTGGGTCAGCTGTCCTGGCTGTGTCCCCTCCCAACCTCTTATGCCCAACCAGTCTTCTTGCTGACAGGGCGTGAGAAGCTGAAAAATCCTTGACTTAGTATAAACACTGCTTAGCAACAACTAAAGACATCTGTGTATAATCAACATTATTCTTGTACTAAATCCAAAACACAATGATATACCATCTACTAGGAAGGAAATTAACTCTGTCCCAGTCAAAACCAGGACACTCCTTTCCAGCAATAAATGTACTGATTAAAAGATTCCTCAGAAAACTCTGGTTCTCAAAGATGTTGCAGTCTTTTATATGGACCATCCCAGTTAATATGAAGTCCTGAGAAAAAGCCTGCCAGTACAGATCTATGATTCAGTAAACAAGAGGATCAAGATTCAGCCAGATTTTCCATGAACCTGCTATAGCTGAAGAAATTGAGTTTACTGGAAAGTGGGTAGTGACAAAGGAATATTTTTCGCTACACAAAGTAGCTTTTATTGTCATGTATAACAATGCAAATGGATTGTGCCCAGTGTGACTCTGTAAGCTCACTGCAGTGAGATAAATATCACAAATGTACTATAAACAATCACTGTTTAAGGACAGTAATCATCATACAGTCACAATGCTGACTTCCAGGGCCCTCTTTAGGTGTGGAGAAGCGGAAAGGAAGAGTTCCCTTGCTACTGGTTTCCCAGAAATGCTAAGAAGCCCAAAGTACCTGATAAAATTACATGTACACATGGGCATGTGTCCATGCATTTTGAATCCAGTTTGCCTTAGGGCCTCAAAAGGGTTTTCATGAACTCTGCTTACATTTAGTTATGCCTCAATAAATGTGCAGTAACTTCACGTTTGTTAAGCAGATATTATCTGGCATAGAGCTGACTTTCATGTGTTTGTTTGGTTCCTTGGAACAGATACAAAGAGTGGAGAAAGTATGTAGTTAAGAATAGTTCTCATTTATCCATGAGTTCTTATAAAAAACAGACACTTGCCTCATCAGAAACTACCTTAATTCACAGATCTTTAAGGAAGAGGAATATTGGAGGTATTAGAGAATATGAAAAAGGGAAGGAAAGCTTGGACAATATAACAGGGGCCACCTGGATATGGATTTTAAAACACCGCCAGGAACAGAGCCTGAGAGTTTAATAGCAACTGAAGCATGCATTTGCAACAGTTTGTTTTACCTCCCAATGCTGAAAGGCTCTGCTGTGGCAAACTTTTTGGAGTTGATACACTGTCAGCATTGCTTCCAAGCTGAAGCCATCCAGAGCAGCAGGAAACTGTCTTCCTGAAATGAGATCCTCTTCATCTACCTCTACTGCATCCTCCACTTGGTTGTTTATGTTGTTGACAAGATTGCAGACATTTAGCAGGGTAATTTTCCAGTAAGGAAGTTTTGCTCTGTTAATCTGGAAATACAAATAGCCACTATTCAACATGTTGCAATTTTTGTTTTGTTTTTTAGTAATAATGTGTGACATTCAAACATTTTGGTAGGAAAAATTGTGTGTGTGTTTGAAGTACTTCTCATCTTCTCAACTTTAGTGCTGAAATTAAGACAACTCATTTATTAAACACACCAAGTCTGCTTCCCCACAGCCTTACCCCTCAGGTAGATATACAAGATGAAAAACTAAACTGCTACCAAACCAGAATGGTAGCATTTCACAGCCATTCTGCACAGGTGCAAACAATAACAGATGGAAATTAGTATAATATAAATTCACATGTGTAAATCAGGACAGTGAGTCAAACCCACTGGATAAAACATCAGTACTGGCATTCAATGTGGATGCCTGTGGTTAACTAGACGCTCCTCCCCAGTTCAGAACAAATACCAGTCATTTCAAAATTCCTTGAGAAAAGGAACAGAGTCCCTGCTTCAGGGCAAGATGTCTGTTGAGTCTAGATCTGAAGTTATGGAACCTATAAGCCCCAGGAGTTTTGGATGCTGGAGAGTCATGGGCCTGGGAGATGTGAATTGAAGGTCTATGGGCTTAGTTGAAGATAAAGCAAAGATGAAACAGCTGTGCAAACTATGTATTCCTCATTTGGTAACTGGACGGAAAAACCCAGACCAACAGTATTTAGGTGGTCCATATAATGGACCTATTCGGAGAAGTTACAGAAAGACAGAAATAAAGAAATTCCACCATGGTTTGACTCAAATTTTGCTTGTTCCAGTATCTTGCATTATTTAGATACCATTTTTAACTTTTAAACCCTTTAAAAAAAAAGGGTTTAAAAGTTTTTTCTCCCCTTGAGAAAAATAATTTTTTACTTTTTTACTGGTACTGTTCTTTCCAAGCAGCTGTGGCAGTAGCCTTCTTCAGTTTTGCTAACAATAAAAAAAAGTAAGTGAAAAACCTAATTCCCACCTCATTCACTGCTTTTCATATCTTTGCAGCTTTCTTGGTTCTCCCACTATTCATTATTTCTTTCAAATTGTATTCCTTTTAGTGGTGAGTATAGAAATTAGTTTCCTTAAACTAGAACTGACGATACAGCAATCACCAGTCAAAAGCCAAATAGCAAATTTCTGTTTATTGCTGTCAAGGGCTTCCTTGCTGTGCACATTAAGATTACACTTTATCTATGAACTGAAATGTAGCTGCTTCTTTTCCGGAATGCACAACTTTAAATATAGGTTTTAGATTAACACAGGCATTGTCTTTAACATACTGACAGCATTAATTGGTGTGGACGCAGCACTTACCTAGCTGAACATTAGGTAATCACATAATCTGTTGTTTCTTTAAAGCACCTTCCTCACAAACGGGCATTGTATGCAAGATTTATGCACATTCACCACACTTTACTATCTCTTGAGGGAAAAGAAAGAAAATTGGGAGGACTGAAGAAGAAACAAGAAAATCCAGCATCACTACCAGCATTAGTTACAAAAGATTCCCTTTTGGCCATAATCATTACTCCAATATACATCAGATATATACATGCCTTTCAAAATGAGAATAATTTAGCTCTTTAAAAAAAACACTATGTGTTCTCAGATTCTTGACAAGGCTCAGGAAAAAAAAAATAAAAGAAAATGAAGAGGATTTTGTTTTCAGGCTAAGAAGAAAACAAATCTGAAATCTTATTCACAAGCTTGAAATTGGTTCTGCATTGTTTACTTTGAGCTCATCTGTTGTCCCATCTAGGTGCCTTAATTAGTCTGTCAAGTTATTTGAAAAGATGTGACAGGTTCAAAAAAAAATTAATCTCTTTGCAGAATGTCTAATTTAATTAACAGAAGTTAAACTAGCAAAAAGAGCAAGTGTATATTGCAATTTAAAAATCTTCTTTGGTCTGTTTTAAAATATTTATTATATATAAAAATATGTGCTTTCCATAGCAAATGAAGAGGTTTTTCCAGTGCTTTTCTCTCTCCTGAGTATATAAAAGAAATCTGAGCTAGCACTGTAATAGATAAATTGCAGTGGAGAATAAAATCTAGGGGCAGTGCTATGTGAGCAAGTGAGAGTTCTGAGTTAAAAAAAGGCCCAAAAATATTCCAGTGGATGGGAACAGGAGAGAAGAGGAAAGGACAGGGAAATTTGTTATGCCTTCTTGCATAATTTACAGAATCTTTTTGATCTAAAGTTGCTACTTATGTTACCTTGATACATGTCTATATTTAAAGGAACCATCCTCTGTATATTAGTAAAATACTAAAATAGCAGACTTCATTAGATGAAATTGGTATTAGCTGCTACTTATGAGGTTAGGGGAAAAAATGTGGTGCTGTCTGCAAGTATACTTCATTTGTTAAGAGAGTCTAATTCCCATTAATACCATGCATTTATCACCTCAAATTATTTTTACCTAGGTACACTTGCTTCTGACTTACACTGATGCCAGCTCACAGAACAAAACCATAAAGCATTAAGATCTTCAGCCAAAGGTGAAATATTTTTTTTAACTGAACATGGAGCTCTGCAGGTCATGTCCAGTCACTGAACAGAGCAGCCATATTATTTTTCTCCTTATTATTTTTCTCCTCTACTTCACTATTACAGCAAGCATTACAATCAGACAGCATTATTTTATAGGTTATGGGAAATCTCTGAGGTGGTTATCCTAAAGGAATATGTGAAAATGCAGTTTATAACCCAAATGCTCAGGTACATTTCCAGTGTGTGATATATTTTCCACACAGGTCTAAGCAATACCAACTACAGTTGCTCAAGACATGTTTTGGAAAATACCTACACAAGAGATCAAGGAATCCATATCTGCCAAGATGAAACTAATTTTTTTAAGATTAGCTTGGAAAATATCTGGGAGCGATCCGAAGGAACAAAAGCAATTGCAGTATGAATCAGAATTTAAAAGTTATTAATGCTGAAGTGAATATGATGTATGCATTTCCATTGTTGAACATGCTTCTGAAATAAGACTCATATATGTGGTTTCCCACTCCTCATCTATCTTGAAAGAGAATTTTAAATCATTTAAGAAACTGAAATGTGCTTTAGAATATTTAATTCTTTGACAACATGTTTATCCTATGAAAGATTAAAGAGAATTCCAAGTTATAACCTATATGATATCTTTTTCCTTCCAATTGAATGATACTCCTGATAGCTTAAGATGCTTATGTTATAATGCATACCTCCCAAATGTTGTCTTTTGTCAGAAAGGTCAGTTCTCTGCTTTTTATGTTCTTGTCTTTATCTAGTGAAAGCAGATGAAAAACAAATTCTATAACCAAGTAAAACACAATGTAATGTAGGATCTCTATGGTTCCTTTTTGGAATAGTAGTTGAATTTTGTTCAGAATTTAACCATAAGAATAATAAAAATACTCTCTGTCTTTAAGCAGATATGGTATAGAGTTCTGTTACAGTGGAAGTTCTTCCATGGTGTACACTAGTGCCTGTAAATGCAATGAATTTTTATGTGAGGACTGCATCAGGAAATCAGTAACTCCCAGGCAGCTGTAACCTCGTCTGCCTCTGACAAGGAGGCTGAATGATACAGTCAGCAATAGGCATCCTAGAACAATAAGAAGCTCAAAGGGTCCAAGACTTCAGAAAAATTAGTGTGAGTGGGAATCCCAAATCACCTCAATCTTTTTTTGAGTTCAGGACATTCTTCATGCAAGTGGTGGTTGCAGGCAAGCATTTAGGAAGCTGGGAATAGAGCTATCCATTTGATACAAAAGAGAGACAGCAGATAACTGTCCTTATATTTGTGACACTTCAGGTTGTGCTGTCTTACCAGATCTTCCAAATGGCTCTTTGGATTTTATCTTAGAGGAAAGACAGATGAAGCATTTTACGGACTTGTTTGACTATCTTCTTTGTGATGTAGCAGCAGGGAAGGGTGATAAACTGTATTAATTGCTGAAGACAGGTTGTAATAAGCATAGACAAACTTCCTTAATGATGGAGAGTGATTCAGCAGATAGATAGCTTTAAAGAACAGTTTAAAAAGGGCCAGGAGATGCTGGAGAGCAATCTGTGAAGTTAAAATCATATGGTAACTCTTTCCATAATATTAGATAGACTACTGAATGTTGTAAAAAGTATGTGCTTAAACCCTAGCTGTAGTCTTGATACTGTACTTCACAAGTGCCTACTTAGGAAGATTTTTTCTGTCAAATACTAGAACCACAAGTGATAATCCACTTTGCTGCATTTTTCGATCTGAGTTTCCATAAACACTTTTTTTCTCTCCGTCTCCTCCCCCACCCCCCATTAATGTTATTTAAATTGTCTGGATTTCCCTTGTTGCTTATTACCAAGCCAGTGTCAAAGACGGTTAATGCAATTTAACAGTAATTGCCCTCAGCTGGAACCAGATCTCAGGCACAATACAAGACAGTTATTATACATACCATCCTCAAATTTGTGTCTCACACCAGAACCATATTTTTGTTCTAATGAGGGTTAAAAGCTAGCAGAGGACAACAGAAAAAAATAAAAAGAATTTGTCATTTCAGTAATGAATCGAATAGTGGTATGCATCTTGTAGAAGCATTCATGTACAATTGTTAGTGTGCCTTACTTTGATGTCAAGAGACAATATATATTGAACTAATGAATTTGAGATGGTGATTAAAGGCAGTATAATACAGAATTAAAGCAGTGTCTCCATCATGCATCTACTGCTTCTGTCAACTTCGGGTGTCACTTGACACTTATGCACCATATGGAAATTGAATAGCAAGCTACATGATGTAAAACAACATATAAGAGTATTATGGCAAACATCATTACGTTATCAACTGGTGCACTATATTTGTGCATTTTTAGTTACCTGAAACTGTGGTCTGTGCTGAGAGGGAGGAATAGACAGAAGTTAGGTTCACAGTTTCACTGAAGTCAGTAGCAGAAATACCAGTAACTGCAGGGTTTCCTTCCAGGGCATACTATGCTTTGCCACACAGAACTACTTTTGCCAGCCTCCTACATTTAAATTTATCTCAGGAAAAACAGTATCTATTAAATTTCTCTGCACTTTAGAGAAGAGAGTGGCAAAAAGGTTTATTTGACATCTAAGGTTAATTAACACGCCAGTAAAAAACACGGGAACCTAAGAACTGCCAGACCAGATAAAACAATGTATTTTCTGGCTTCATTTCTTATTCTAGTCTACTCAAAGGATCCTGTGAAAAAGCTCACACATAAGCAAGTACAGTAAATAAAGTCTTCCAAGCAGGTTTTGTCCTTAACCTTCAACTAGTCATTGGCTTACAAAATTCTTTTTTCAGGGAAATTTTTCACTTCTCATTTTATTTTCCATTTTATTTAATCACTGCTTGAACTTCATTAGAACAAAGAGTTAAAACATTCAACCTGAAGTCCATGGCACTTGTTTCAGGGTTTGTTCTTTAATATGTTGCTGAAGATATATTAGACCTATATATTTTGTAGATCACTCATAGAAAATAGCAGTGTTGAGAAAGTGTCTATCAGACTGTTTAATATGTATGTACAACACTTGCTGCTTCACCTTGTCAATATGAGATTGGAACTGAATTTTTGTCTATTCGTATTAAATAACAGGGACACCGCTCCGTCTGGCAACTTGTCGAGAAAATGTCATTTATCAGATTAATACTTTCACAGTCATGCCCCCATGTTCCTGTACTAACACTATGATTAAATTCCTAAACCAAAATCAGAATATGTGTTAACAGTTTTTGCTTTATGACTGTCTTAATTTTATATGCATATAGGAAAAGTTCTGCATAAAAATAGCACTTACGGATTTGACTCAAGGTTAATTTAGCTTTCATCAGGCATAATCATATTGGAAACACATTTCCTCATATAAATTTACATCTCTGCACATAACACAGTTCTGACAGTTTAATGAAAGTACCAGTGTTAAGAGTGAGGAGCACTTTTAGTGTGTCACATCAACACCTTTAAATTTCCTTTGAACTGGAGAAAATCTTGCACCAAAGTAATGTCTAGCACTGAGCTTTTCAGTCTAGACCATAGGTTATTGCTTTGTACAAAGACTTCTGGGTTTGTAATGAGAATTCACTTGTTCCCTACCCGTCAGCTAAAAGAGGAAAAATAATTACCTTTGATGTGTACATATTGGTCAATAAATCTGCTTCTAACGCTTTCATCTCCTCTTCTGAATCTGGGAATAAACCAAAAACATATGTTTCATCATAAATCATGGACATTTCAATTCAGCACACAGAATTTAAATATACCAATGAATTTGTAAAAACAAACAAAAAACAGACAAGTCAGATGACACAGCAAAGTGATCTAGATGGACTGTGAGAAGTCTTCAGGTAACAGCAACATTATGTTACAATTGATACTCACTACCTTTTTAACGCATGATCTAACTTACTGAAGTGATTACTGATTCATTAATCTCAGTTCACTCATAGACAGGCCCACTAATCTGCAGCCCTTTCAGTAAACAAAACTGCTGCAATATTCTTCCTTCAAAATCAGTAAGATTTTTATAATCACTGTGTTTCACCTCTGCTTACTTCAGAAGAAGATTTTTGATGTTTACTTTCAAAGAATACTTATTTAAGTAGCATCTAAGTATTTAGGTGAATGGCAGTTATGATTGCTTGGAAGGTTTAGTATAGATTATTCTTAGTTAAATTAAGAATATGTTTACTGACATGAAGAAATTGAGTTTAACCAGTTTGTGATACCAGCTCTTGACAATGCATATACCAAAAGAAAGTATTCTGACTGTAAGTTTGAAGATTTTCTTTACTAATTTAATTGACCTTTGATAGCTCAGCAGACTTGGAAGACCTGTGATTTGGTGAATTAGGTAAAAATTGCTGTAGAAAGAGAAAACAGCCACAAACTTTTCTGCTTTGTGCTGTACAGAATCACAAGGAACATCTGATGCCTTGAAAGTGTAGCATCAATCACAGCTCAAAGATGAGATATATGCAGAAAACAGTTAAGAATTCAGGAGAAACTGAGTTCCACATGGCTTTTAGCTTTCCTGGAATACCAGCAGTCAAACAATACGCTTACTTATATTTAAAACCAAACTAAGCGAAAATCTATTGCATATTCATGTAAGTCATATCTCACTTTCATCAAAATGATCAATGCTGTTGGCATGTAACACCCTACCACAGAATCCATGGATAGATTCTGCTGATGCCTTCGTTTCAGGCATCTTTACCACACTGTGTCACTACCTTTCACAAAACATGAGACTGTAAAGGACATTTTATACAAATATGTGTTAATCTGTCATAGTTTTCTCCTAGCACAGGAAGCCAACCATTATAATGATATTAAAAACAAATCATGTTCAATCATAATAACAAGATCTCACCACCACTATGTTTCTTCTTTGGGGAATTCTTCCAAACTATCAGTGGTTATTCACGTTATTCTAATTTCAAGCCTATTTTATTTCTAATTACAAATTTATTAAAGGTTTCTATATAACTTCCTTCACTATAAATGATACCTTTCTATTTGTAATATTAACCCAACTCATGCAGTTTTTGAGAGCAGATGCAGCCCTTCCCAGCGTAGATTTTTTAGGATGCACTTGCATGGTGATTAGCAAACAATGCAAGATCACTGTCCCTTTTGGACATAAACTATTCCTCTGGAAATCTTGTAAATACTTCACTGAATGGCTAAATCCAGAGGTAGTAAACTTCCCTCTATTCTATTCTCCTATAATAGCCTTGTATTCCCAACTTGAGTGGTCCTCCTCTGTACCTGATGTGATCTCAAGACAGCACAACATAGTACAGTTTGGATCAGAAGCCTCAGTACTTAACTGCCTTAATGCTTACCATTAGCTACAGGATGTATCTCCCTTACACGTTTTTTTATTTTGTTTGTCTTTCATGGCTGAAAAACTTTATTATCTGGTAAAAATTTGAGGTCAGACAATATGACCAAATCTTTTATCTCCTCAGACATTTCCAACAGCTGTGCTTCTGCTAAAATGAGCTTTTAACTGGAACTTCTATTATTTCCTAAGCTATTGCATTTTTACTGTTGCTTCTCATTTCTATTATTCAGGGCACCAAAAATTTCTGTGTGTTACGCTGATCTTCCTCTGTAGTTATGCTCCATTTCACCTTTGCATTACCAGCACACTGCATTCATCCTTACTGTCTGCACTGAAGTCGTTATTGAAAATAGACTGGTTTGTAGATAGTTATTACAGCAAGTCACTAGCAGCTAATCTCCAACCTATGGCCTTCCAGCCCTTTCAGCACTAACGGTTGTCAGTGTTACTTGGTCTCTCAACAGCATTATCATTAGCCAAAGTTCTGATGGCAGCACAAGATCACCTCAGCTGAATTTCTACTAATGGTAGCAGCAGTGCCCATTGAATGGGTGAGCGGCACATGTGTGACAGCTTCATGCTTTGTGGTGTCCGGGGTCGTACCAGCAGAGGACAGTGAAAGGACCTGTGTCTGGTTAGCACCTGTTTTTTTATAGAGGATGGAAGATGGCTTCCACACCATGGCGACTGGAAAATAGCTGCAGGCGTGGAAGATAGGTAGGTATTAAGATACATTTTGATGGAGAAAAGAAGTCTGAAGGACATTATTTAGGAGGCCGGTCGAGATTCCCCAAGTGAAGGATAAAGCATGGCTTGGAGGAGGAGAAGGGACCATGTCCAGGCAATTCGGGCATGAAAGGGACAAACGAGGAGTAAAAGCATAAAAAGAGCAGACTCGCAGAGAGCAATGTATGAAAGGCTGGTTACACATTATTGTTCAAATCAGAGGGAAATTCACACAGTTTGATGTTCTCTTGATTCACTTCTTACTGACAAGAAATACAGCTTCTATTCATATATTCACATTCTACAGGAATAGTAAGATTCTACAGTTACACACTTTCCCATGAGGGAAAATATTTTCAAAAGAAAATTAGAATGAATGATCATTTCTTTATAACAGTCCATATTAATTAAAACTGATTTGGCCCCTCCACACAAGCCTCTCCATGGCATTTCTCATTTAAATATAATTTAAAATTGTCAAGCAAATAAACCATCATGTCAGTTACACATACAATTTTGTTTCTGGATTTTTTTAATGAGCCTATTTTAATTTCTACTGAAATTTTTTACATTAGTGGGCTTTCACTCGGGCTCTACAAACAGTTGATTTTGAAACAGCCTCACTGAAAATACTAGTCAAGTAATTGTTTAAAAAGCTTCAGATATAGAAGGAGAAAGTAATAAATAATAAGCTCTGTCACTAAGATCACCAGTTCTCTATAATATACAGAATTATTATGTTTAAACTGTGATAAAATGCTGGTATTATGTGTGTTACATTTTTCTTCTGCAGGGGAATAAAAATTGGAAACTTTCATCTAAAGTGAGAATTAGAAATTCTGAGTCCTCCTGAATGCTGAAACTGAACAATGAAGATACTTGTAAATTTATTCCTTAAATGCTGTGGAGATAAAAATGCAAGTAATTTTCAATTTCGTTAAGTCTGGATTTTGAAGCCTATGTCTACTTCATGTCTTTGTGTATACACCTGTTTAATCACCACCATACCTATTTTTGGTCATAAACTTAGGGCATAAATGACACACACTTAGCTGTGTCATTTTCCAAAGGAGCAGGCGATTCATTTTAATACATGGTCCTTTTTTTTTTTTGTTTCTAAATCAATTGCTCTTGGAGTAGAAACTCACTTATATTAACCTTTCTATTGTGTGATATGCATCAGATTCAGTATTTTTTTTGTCATTTCAGCTCAGTTGTTAGCAATTTTTTCCCAAGAATACTAAAATTGTATTTCTGTCACTAAAAAGTGATTAAAGTGCATATATACTCATGCTGATTTGGATTATGGCAGCTATACATGAGAGTGGCAGAAATTATAATTTCTATGGTAGTTTGGAAATACATGGTATTCGATAAACCACAACTCGGGCAGCATAACTAAGCAGATGGTCTACACTGATTTGTGTTTCCGATGACTGCTCTACACTCACTGCCAGGGTATGGATGCTGTGGGGCGGAACGGTTTACACGGAGGGAGAAAGTTACGGGAACGATATAAAAAACGCTGCTGGCCAGAGCCTGTTATCGGGGCCAGCTTCTTGGCGACAAGTGGGTGCAGCCACGGTCGCCCGTGGCGACTTCAGCTCCTCCCCTGAGGGTCCCCCCAACAAGCTGCGGGAGCGGCCCGGAGCCCGGGGCTACGGGGCACGGCGGCCGGCGAGACTTCGGGGGGACGCGGGGGGGGGTGGGGGGGTGGGGGGGATGCTCCCGGGCGGGGGCTTACCTGAGCAGAGGCTGCAGGAGGCCAGGGCCAGCAGCACCGCGCACACCAGCTGGGCTCTCATCCTTGCCGCGCCTCCCTCTAGAAAGTAAAGTCCATAAATCCTGGGGAGAGACGGAGAGAGAGAGAGAGACAGACAGACAGACAGAGCCCCGCCGCTCCGCGCCTCTCCGCGCCCTCAGCACTCCGCGCCGGCGGGCAGCTGCAGGCACTAGTCGGGGGACCCGGACCCTTCCCCAACTATATAAGCCGCGGGGTGATGTCACGGCGGTGCCGCCATCACCTCCTGACGAAGCGCCCTCCCTCCGCCCCCTCCACCCCCCCACACACACCCCCCCCCCAACCGCTGCCGCTGCCCCCCCCTCCGCGTCGCTCCGCGCTCGCCAGCGCTGACGCCACTGGCCGCCTGACGCACGCGGAGCCCCGCGGGGCGCGCAGCGGGGCGCACAGCGAACCTCCGCACCCACCGCCGGGGGGGGGGGCGGTGCGGAACGGGCTTTTCCCGAAAGGCGGCTATCCTCTGATCTGGGAAGGCCCCCAAAATGTATTTGTTTGTTTGTTTTTTTTGTTTAATTTTAAAAAGTTACCGCAGTTGCTGGGACCCCAGGGGTCGGGGGGGGCGGGGGGGGGGGGAAGACGGCCGCGCGTAAGCCCGCGCACTGCGCGTAGCGCCGCGGTCTTCGTGTGGTCGCCGTCTGATGCGCTTTGTCTTATCTGCTTTCCCTTCCCCTACAGCGAGGGGAAAAACCTGGGAGAGAAGCGCACACCGGTCCCGGGCAGGGGTGTGACACCAGGGATGGGCAGGGGGAGTGTGACATCGGGCACGGGCAGGGGTATAACCCTGGGCATGGGCGGGGGTGTGACATGAGGCATCAGTAGCAGAATTTAAAAAAAAAAAAAAAAAAAAAAAAATAGTCTGTGTGTGTGAGAAAGATAACGGGAAAGTGACTCGATAGCGATTTTTCATAGATGCGCAGAAATTTCTGATACCCGAGGCGGCGAGATATCGTTCTAGTTCTGGAGCGTGCTTGCCACCAGCCAGCAGCTGTGGCTTCCACAGTCCGCGCTCCTGCGAGCCATTCCTCCTAACGTGTATTTTCCCGGTTTGAATTTTGCAACGGCCATCTCCCCAGCGACCCCCCAAAGCCCAGGCTCCGTCCGCACCAGCCAGAGCCCAAGAGCCAGTAACGCGCAGGGGACCCGCGGAGGGCGGCAGAGCGGCGGCGGAGCGGGCGCGCAGTGCCGCGGGACGGGGCGCGGTGTCAGCGGGCGGCGCCGGGAGGTTTGGGGGGGGCGGGGGGGGAGAGGAGAGGGGTGTCCCGGCCCCTGATCGCACGCCCTGTCCTGCGTGCGTGTCTTCTGCCTTTTGGATCTCAGCTCTTGAGCCGCGAACACGACAGAAATTGTCCGAAGTGGCAGGTAGGGATGGGTAATCTTTAAGGTATGAGTATATAAATGTAAAGCTGAAGACTCGCTTCAGCCTCCACCAAGCTACTGCTTTTACTGTGATTTTTTTTCCCAGATACAGACAAATGCTCCATCTGTTGAATTCAGATACTACAATGCGGAACATTCTGATCTCTGTGAATACATTTAAGGACAGATCCACATGCCCTGCGTAGCAGGAACACACTCCACCAGTGGTAGGTTCTGCTGGTGTGGATGTCCTCTTCAGAGCTGAAAGTTTTCATTAAAATGCAAAGAGCAGGGATGGGTGCTGCTTCCCTCCCTCACTCTACGTGCCTATCTGTGCGACTGAATAGATGCCACAGAAACAGAATACACGCAGAATTTTCAGAATCCTGCCACAAGGAACACCTGGTGAGAAAAGTTTCATTAAGCGAATTCCTTCTTCCCTGAATCAACTTTTATAGAACAACAAAATTTAAATTTGAATGTTGTTTTGGTTTATGGTCAAATAAATACACGCAGAAATAAAATTGAGTGCATTCTGGTCATATTAGCTGTTTTAAGAGCACAGTTTTTTGCATCTAGTTGGGAACACATCTTTCTGTCCTACTAAGAGAGAATTTTAAAACAAACAAACAAAACCCCCAAAACACATTTATCCCATTGTATGGGCTGTTCTAGCCTGCCAGAAAGTTTCAGCTATCACTCCTCTGCCTTAGCACAGAGGTTAGATTAGATAGCCACTCACACTCCCCTCTAGTCCTATTTTCTATTATTTCCATGATGTAGAAAGATCAATCTGTAACTGATTTTGCTCTGTGGGTGTTCTGCAGTTCAGAAAGCTCTATGAATGAGAATCATATTTCATAGATATTTTCTAGTGCCTACTCTCTGTCACAGATTTCTTCAATAGTGTAATTTCCCATATTCTTACGTAACTGGAATTTATAGGAATGAAATCTTTTTTTTTTTTTTCCTCAGGAAGAGAGCAACTGCAATTTTTCCTGCCATCAAAATCTGTGATCACCTAGTTGTTGCCTTTTTAAAAATTTATATTTTTTTTTTGATGCTGAGATACTAATTATTAGTGTTTTCAAGAGGATGATTGTATGGTATGTTATGGGCCATAACCTTTTTTATCACTGCTCTGGTTTCACCTTTTCCTTTTTTTTTTTTTTTTTTTTCCCCTGGAAAATAACAAGGCAGTAACTTCAGTGTTAAAAACTTCTTTGCTTTTGAATGTTCTTGACATATTATCTTCATGTCCCCTGGATCAGGCACAACAGAGCTTGGATAATTATATTTCTTTCTTAGTAGAACTGAACTGTCTTCTGTTTCTCATCTGCTCCTTTATTTACTTTTTCTACCACTTTCCTACATCTGTAGATTCTACTGCTCCATTAAGAATTGCATACTATGAATTTTAACACTTTCAAAAATTAATTGCCTAAATCACCTTGACTTCCTCAACTCATCTTCGTATCACATTTTTCCTAATGAGAAATGTGCTTCAGATAATTTTTTATAAGAAAAAACCCCTCTCTTTGCAGATTGGTCTCTCTCGTTCTCTTCCTCTTTCTTTTCAAATATTCCTCAGCTAAAGAAAATGTTTATCATTATTCATTAGTGTCAGTTAGCTTGGGAAACTCAATTTATTTTCACTTGCCCTCAACATGTGGCTTAAACAGCCTATCCAGGCCTATAACTCAGCTCCATTCACAACTGTGAGGCATGGAGACAGTGAAACAATCAGGCAAATGATAGATTCATGAAAGAACAGATACATGAACCTCCATTTACTTTGCCATTGGAACATAAAACTACCATCATAACATATGGATGTCACCAAACACAAAAGCTGTGATCACCAAACAGACGGAGAAAACCATTCTGCTAATGATCCTGCAGTAGAAGATACTGGGGACTATAATAAGGAACAGTCGATGTTCCAGTTAGCAGTCTTATGCCTTGGGAACAGAAATAAACACAGTGAGAATGAATGGAGAGAATTCAAGCTGTTCAGTCTTATCATTAAACATATTAATGGCTCAGAAATTTTTTTTTTGTGGATTTTTACATGTTTTTTATCCAAACCTTATGATAATTACAGAAGGATGGTAACTGGAATAGGAATCATTGTGGAGGTGGTTAGCAAGACAAAATTTCATACAGCAACCTGGCTCAAAATGCTCATTCACAATCTCAGATCTGAATTTAGTTGTTGTAATTAAGATGTTTTGACCCTAAAACAGTTTGGCTATCAGCAATTTAGGTTAATACGCTGGGCAGAAAACTGGTGATTCACATTAATTTGTATCATGTCGGCTCAGGAGATAGTAAACTCAAGCAAAGCAGCAGGACAGTCAGGGAAGGGTATTCAAAGCACATTTAAAGCATAAAGCATGGTCAGACACTGCAGCTGAATTTCCCAGGCATTATGAGTTCTTATCACCTCTTTCTCTGAGCTTAAAATACATCTATGGTTTTTATTCTCTTTGGTCAGGACAGTGATGCTCAAAGTTGATGGTGTATTCACCTTCTGAAAATCCCAGAGATCATCTGTGTTGCTGAGGATATCAGGAAAAAAAAAAATCAGAAGTAAAAATGAGATAATACTTAACACACTGGATCATTTCTAAGCAAGTAGAACATTAAACATCCCCTCTACTTCAAACACCATCTCCTTTAGCCATACTGTGACTTGATTTTTTAGATTTGTGAGGTTGTGCAGTTTTAGGAAACCTTGAGGAGTCAACTGAATAATATTCAAGAACTTATTGCTGTAGAAAAAACCCTAACACATAAGCAACTGCATTATTATCTGAATCAGAAATATTTCTTAATATGCAGTAAATCTATGCCACATTTTGTAAGGAGCTGCACATCAACAGAAACTTCTTGGACATATAATGAGCTATTTCTTTATGTTTTAAAGTTCTGGAGTCTGAAAGTGTGAAAGTGGCATTCTGTGTGGCCTCTACATATGAAGTCTACTTGCATGGCAGAGCTTTTTTTCTTGACGCTTTGACATTTCAAACAGCAACATCTCAGTACCCCAGGGGATCATGATTCTCAAATCACAGAAAATTTTAAAATATCATCTCAACATGATGATCTGAAATATAATTTCTTCTTTTGAATTCTTTTTTTTTTTTTCTCATTAAAGCACAGCCATTAGATTTTCAGGACTTTGAGATTCTCTAACCCTGCTCATGAAAAAAATAACAAACCAGATTCTGTATTTATTTCTGCATTTATTTCCATTACTATAAAACAAATACAGCATCTAAACACCTACAGTTAAAACCACTAAAAATGTGAACCTTTTGGCCACATATATATATATGTAGCTGTTGGGACATTGCTTAGGAAAAGCCATTTTGGACTAAAAAAGGCCATAAGAAAACAATATTCCCTCATATTTCTGATTTCTATTTATTTTTTTTTTTTGCTTTTACTGTAATCCTCCTATCTGAGAAAGCAAACAATGCAGTTAGCAGTGCCACCACAGTGTGTCATGGGAGTTATGCTTTGGGCACCTCCTCCTTACTTTCACCTCAGCAATGCATTCCCAGGCCAGACTGCATCTTTCTCATTTCTCTGATAACACATTTTCCCTAAATACCTAAGTTAATCAATTTTTCATTTCTCTCCAGTGAGCTATGAATATTTTAATTTAAGTTTCAGGATATAATATATACAATGGACATGGCTGAAAAGCCTAATATAACTTTCTTGAAGATTGAATATTCATGTAATCCACTGTTCATCAGAGTGATCATGCTTTGAAATTCTGTGTTAAACAGATGAAATAATTACAAGATGCAAAAATATTGTTTTAATAGTGTTAATGTTGGACTGATCAGATAACAATGATTATTCACAATTCCTGAAAGA